TGTTTTCCAGCCGATTCGCACTGAAGCTTTTTTTCTCTGATTCTATCTTTTATCTCGTTACTAACCTGTTCCTTATACATTGAATCCAGAAATTCATTTTCTTCTTTCTCTTCCAATGATATGGTTTTCGCAGGGGTAGGAGATGTGAAGATCTCTAATTCCTGTTGTGTATTGGAATTGCCAGAGGTAGTCACTTCGTGGCTAGATGTGTTAGACTCCTCATTACGTGAGATTATCTGTTCATGAGTATCATTAGAATTTAAAGTTTTATCAATTATATCAGATGATGGATCATCAGGAGTATCATTGGAATTTACTAGAGATTGCAAAGCATCTTTTGTAGAAATATCTTTTTCTCCCTGCTCTAATATAGCGAGTCTGGTCTTAAGTTCTATATTCTTTTGCTCTAGTTCCTCAACTCTAGCATCACGTTTTGTATTCTCTTTTATAATCTGCCTTAGCTTCACGTTCTCAGCTTCAACCTTACTATATTTTTTTTAAGTTCAGTAATTTCAACTGTAAGTTTGGAATTTAGCTCTCTTAACGAAGCAATTGTAGTTTGTGAATCTGTCATTGTTTTATATAAAATGCAGATATTATTCAAAATAAAAATATAACGTATCCGTTCCAATTTTTTCTCGCAAGCTCGAAAAAGTGATCAGATATAGTGTGATCACCTACTCTCTGGCTTCGAGCAAAAAGGCAGAATAAATTCGCAAAATATACACGCAAAAGTAAACATGATTATGTATGCGAAATCGGCCAGCTTTATTTAGTCCGCCACGAAATATGTGATCATATAATGTATATATTTTTTGGTAATAATACAACATGCTAAAATATTGTATTACGTCATCCTTATACACTAAACTTATTACGTGAATGCAGGAATGAAACTATGATATTAATACACGTCATGGTAATCCTATAACAATGCTTATTTAGTGCAACTACACCATGAAAATGCATTATATACACTAAAAACATGTGACTGGAATACACAAGATTTCACCAATCCGGGTCAGAAAACAATAATAATTATGAGAATTACGATTTGTAATGCGCCAAGGAAAAAATTATGAAAAATCATTTTCTGATTCACGTGTGAAAATTATAGCAAGTAGGAATGTTTTATTAAAAATTAGCATATCGTATATATTCATATAACATTATATTAGTCTAGGATATCACACTTATTATGCGGTTTCTACCCGTTGGTCTTTTTTCTTTTTTTAGTGTAATTACTAGTTAGGCAAGGTGTACAGTTCTAGGTGGAGTAGAAGGACGCGAAGGAGGTTGGGTAATTTCATGTAAGAATAATTCATCCTCAGGTTCGTTTTTTAACACTTCAATACAATGTTGGATTCGGAGTTTTGCTTGAAGAATAGATATAACTGTGCTGATAAGCTCCATTACGTTACCAAGATGCAGAGGAATATTTCTAGTTGTTTCTTTTCTGAGGCGCAAACACGAACCGCCTCCGAAATCCATCAGGAACTGTTGCAACTGAAGGCGTGAATGTAACAAGCCAACTATCTCTATTTTTTTAACTACCGTTTCATCATGATCAACAATATTTGATTGTTGATGGAATATATCTTTCAGGAGTTTCGTGAGTTTCAAGAAGTTGCCTAAATATTTCCTATCATGTGGGCCTTGACACGTTTTCGCGACTTCAATTCCTCCATATTCATAGTCGTTGACTGTATTTTGAAAAATACCATCAATACGATGTCCAAGTGCCTTTCTCTGGCCCTTTATCCTGTACATTTCGTCATCGTTCTTTCGGTTGCTTGATGCAACGCTACACGTCTCACCACGAACAAGTTCTATATCAGGAATATTTAAGAATGTTTTATCAATCAATATGCTCCAAACATTGATTGCATACCACCCCTCTGCATGTGGTTGCATCAATCGATTCTTCGATGACTCATATTCGTCCAGCAGATAAGAAAAAACTTGATGTATATATTGAAAGTCAAAATGTTCTTCTACATTATATGTTGTGTTTAACCAGGGTTTCATAATATGTGTTCGCATTTCTGAGGGGACTTTTTCTTGTAACTCAGTAAATGCTCCACAAGAGCCTTGTCAATAGCTGGCGCAGTTCTCTTATTAGTGCCTATAACTTCCTCCCATTCGGTTTTCGTAAATAAATTTTTGATATTATTATCTGATGTGTCTATAATAAAAGAATGTGCTGGTTGCTCATATTCCAATTTCGACGCGTACGCATAGAGGACGTCTTCCACATTTCTTCCTGAAGACAAGTGCCACTTTCTTTCCTCGTCAATTTTTTGGAATGACATTTCATAAGATGACCAATACGACTGTCCTTTATAAAAAAGGCCAATCGTGGGTGCAGTAACAGTGTGCGCATCAAATTCCTCAGGCTTTTCTTCATTCCAATCTTCTAATGTAGTATCGCTTACATCACTGTCATATTCTGTTTGGTTCCTCGGATTAATTACAACTTTTTTCGTTCTTCTTTCGGATGGATTGGGAGATGACTTCCGTTTTAAAGCTGTTATTATGAATCATAAAGCAAGGTTGTTATGTAATTCAACATATTATGTATAACGGGTTTGATTATATTACCTGGTTCTATAGTTTCTCGCGTAGTATTGGATAGAGCTTCGCTGAAATCGTGGTGTAAGTCCAACATTTGGTTAATTAGATTTTGGGAATTCAGAGCCGATGCTCTTTTTAGCGTTTTCATAACGTTGGTTTTGTTTTTCCAAAAGGCTCCTACTACGGATAGATTCTTTTCTTTCTAATATATATAAAGAAAAAAATTGTTGCTATAACACTTTTGGACGCAACCAAAAGTAAAGTGCACCCGAAATACCCAATGGGACGCAACCCTGGGATTTTCGACTCAACGATCGGGGATTCAGACTCGACATAGCACTTTAAGCAAATTAGTAACAAGACCATAGCAAGGCGCTTTCCTAGACTCGACTAAGAAATATTCGGACGCAACCTAGCCTGTGCTATGGACCTGAAACAAACAACAAATACAATAAAACAGTAAATGTAAGTCTCTAACCTCGAGTGATTTCAAACACAGTGACGCCAACCGTTGGACAGGTTTACTATCATGAGACTTTAATAAATGAGGACTTTGAGTAAGTTGTTCTAAACAAATCTTATACGTCCTGTGTTCTTCTTCCTTTTTTCCGAAATCTTTCGCATACACTATGCTCCACTGTAAAAAATCTATCAGGCTCCATGTTTCGTTATTCTGAAAATAAGGAAGCCTGGATTTCCAACGTGAATCCTCCTGGGTAGTCATTTATAATAAGTGTTTCTGAGTCAGGAGAGTTGAGAATAAAATTTTTGAGTTTAACACTCGATGTAAATTTTCGGTAAGTGGGAAATTTGAAAATTTGAATCTGCATGATTAAACAAAATGTATGCGCCACGAGTTTATTATTCGAATTTGGTTTGGAGTAACATCTGATTGTCGTACGATTAAATCATGCAATTTATTCTGTTATCAGGTCGATCTCCTATATGTTTTTTTTATTTTATAATAAATATATATATATTATTTGTATATTATCGTTCCGGCAATAATTTTTATGAAATAAAGATAGGGGTCCCATAGCATTGCCATTTTTTATTTTTTACGTGATTCTTGTAATACGATTTGCGATTATTAATTAGTGGAGATTAATCGTTATGTGGTTTGTTATTGAGTCAGTTATACGGAATAAAACAAGCATTTATTACCCAGTCGTTACTTTTGGACGTACATAACAATAAGCCTTGTAAGGTGGTGCAGATAAATTTATATGTGGGATTATTTATCTTACGTGGACAATTTTCACATTCACATCGCTTATATATTCCCTCTGCTACTTTTTTGCATGTCTTACAATATAGATGTGAATGGTGATCGCATTCGTCACAAACCTTACACCCGTGCTTCCAGCCTCTAAAGATGTGCCACTTTTCGATATAATTTCGGCTTTTTTTATTTGTATATGTATTGTTATGATTTTTTATCATTGTTGTATTAATAGAAAAATAATTATACGTGGCTAAAAAATTTTTTATCATTCAAACCTGCAATGTGTTTGTGCCCTGTCTTACGCATAATCCTTAGGTCGATATCCGATTGAATGCCTATATTTAACAAGCATTTATTGGTATGTATAAATACTTATATATGATTTACTAATAAAAAATATTAATATCATGTTGGCGTCAACTTCGGGGACGCGATCTGCACTAGTTAAAATGCTTTATAGACCCAAAGGGTCATTGCTTTGCAACAATACTATAAATTTGTGTAGTATTAAGCTTTGAAATATAATCAGCACTATATGTTCGAATTCGCTCGATTTTTTCAATCCCTTGGTTAGTACTTCTATGCTGATCTCCGATTCGTGGATTTAAAACACATGACATCGCCCCACTGAGGCTCATTATAACGTCATGTGATTTTGAAGTTACGATGTGGTTATGCTCCAATAATTTATTATACATATGGATTAGATCTGTTAGCATCCTCACTCTGCGAGTTAAGCTCGATAATTAACTTTGCCTTTTACTTTACGCTTTCTAATAGGGCATTTCTTTACTGCTCTAGTCTTATATGCATGTGTAACTTTTATTTCCAAACTAGATGTGGAAGAATTACTTGAATCGCTAACGGAAGATTCTGACTCAAATACTGAAATAGTTCTGGCAACCTTAGATTTTCCATTTTTTTTCTTCTTTCCATATGAACCAGTATGACAGTGTTGATATTTGTGGGAATCAGAAATAATATGGTGTGAAGTACCCTTTTCTACAGCATGAATTATAAATCTAATTATGTCCTCAATATCTTTCGGAGATGGATTGGAATTGGGTGAGCTATTTTTCGTGGAGCTGTCTTTATTACTATTTCTTTGATTAATGGGATACTCATACCATCTATTACAATTCTAGCATAGCTGTCATAGGTTTTGGGAGAATGTCCAAAGCTAATTTTTGCTTTACACATCCATAACCATTCTTGTCTCAGAACCAAATCGAACGATGGATTTTGCGAATTTGAAAGTCTATTACTTCAGTACCATCTAAACTTCGCCACTTTCCTTTATAGCAAAATTGCAAATCTAAACATTTTATTTCACCTATTACATCTTTATAGAGATTCTCAACAGGATCACATATTCTATAATCTTCTTTAAGCTTATCGAACAAGCTCTTACTAATAGTATTAAACTTTGACGATGTATCAATTAATGCTTTTACTGAGATTTTTCCTTCTACGAGTGTATTGATGAACATGTTAAATATGTTTAATGATGTATATTATAACCGAAAAATAATTATAATTTTTTCTGAATTTTATTATGTATTAATATAATAAATAATAGTGAAGCTAGTACCAAGGTACATATTACTACACGATATTGACAATGAATAAAGCTACATTAGAAAATAATTATAAATCTCGAAATGGTAATAGTGTGATATCTCGCATTATTAAACAAGTGTCAAATAAAAAAATTCAGATCTCTCTCCATCAATTACTAAAAATAGTGAAACCCGAGATTCAGCAGGATATTATAAACTCGATAGCAAACCCAGATATTTCTCGAAGAAATCGTACACCATCTGAGGTTAAAAGAAAATGCAATGCTAGAAAAAAACTAATTTTTAATGATACCGTATCTGAGTTTTCATCCTCATCTTCATCTGGGTCTAGTTATGAATGGTCTAATGATAAAGATTTTGCTATGAATATGGTGAAAGCAAAGAAGCGTGATTAGTTCTTATTGTCAAAAATTTCTCTGTATAAATTGATATTATCCTCGACCTCACTATTTTCTTGTTTAGGTGCTGGAGTATTTGGTCTGTCATTCATTACACCATAATGTTCAACTGATGAAGCATGACCTATTTTATGTCTACATGCCAATTGCCATAAATATTGACGGTGGGAATCATTCCTACCTCCATGTACTCTGGAAGCATGATCGGCATCTATTTTTCTTAACATATATGAGGTAATTCTATGGCAACTTAAGAATTGATTAAGAGATGCAACATTAGTATTTCTATCCTTATCTTTTAACAAGAAGGGAAATTTATCCGGTATTAATCTCTGAATCCAGATAAGTAATTCTCTTGCTCGTATTGGATTTTTTTCCATTGAAAGGAATGGCCGGGGTTCTTCTACCTCATCTTTATTTTTGCATAACCAATACAGTACCAAGAATAGTCAGGATTATACTATGACTCGCGACTTGGTTTGTATCGGTTGATACGAAGATTTTTCACATCTGCTGATCATATACATAGCATTATCATTATGTCTATTAGATTTTGCATTGAAGGAGGCTTGGTAATATTACATTCGTTAAGTCTTTCCTGAACCTTTTCTAGGTAAAAGAACTTGGGACAATCGTAAACATTAATTCCACAAAGTATACGCTTTCTTGCTTGAATCCGATTTGCTTCTTCAGTAATAAAAGGTATTTTCGTTGCCTCAGTAATGGGATAATCAGCTTCTAAGCTATGCAACTCTTTCTGTAATAAATTAAGACGAGAATTTCCTGCAACAGTAGTAGGAGCAGAAGAAGCCAAGTCATATACTATTCTATTTATTTCTTCTGGTAAGAGATTATTTTTTATAATATCTTGGGCAATAATTTTAATGAGATCTCTTTCATCAACATGTCTCCCAGAAGCTCGAATAGGAATAAGAGTATCAGCTTGTTCCTTACTTAATCCCAATTTTTGAAAGCATCTTTTGGCCTGATCTCTGGTTTTTTGGGCCTGCTCTTTTGTCTTGCCATTTGAAAGTTTACTAGCCAACTCTTCGACATAACTACTAAGCTGGGGTAAACTAGTTTGAGGAGTTAATTTGTAGCAATTTACAAATGATATAGCAATTTTTGCTATGGTTAGTATAGCGAAGCTAGTGTCTTTGACACATATGTTAATTGAAATGGTTTATGTAGACTATTTTCGTCTAATATATACTATGGGGATTCTTTTTTCAAATCGAAATTAATTACGCTTTTTCCTCCTATACCTAGAAAAAAGAGTTTATGTATACCTATAGAGTAACCAGAATGTTGATTTAAAATTTACTAATATATAGGATATAACGAAAAAATTTTATAGCTTTAGAGATAGAGGTCCAGGTTATATTAAGGTTTATTATTCATTTTTCTATACTTATCCAAATAAATTCTGGCACAATTCAACAGTTATAAGATATTTGTAATATATGTCCAGTCTGTTTTGTAATATTTCGGGTGGTAGTATTACTGCCGGCTTCCATATATTAAATAAGAAGGATGTGTGATCGGAACAACCATAATCGATATGTTCAAATATTTCTGAGTAATTCGATAAATCACTAACATGTCTATATCTATTGTAGATTAATTTACGGAATGTTGGTCCATTCAGATTTATCATCCGGTCAGTTAATAGGTTAAGTACTTTTTCTGGGGTTTCTAATTCTTAATCGCTTATTTTGTTTACAGTATATATAGAGCATGAGAACATATTGTTTTTTTAATATTTTTATTGAAAATTTTTATATTGTCTAGTTTGAAGAGGCAAAAAAGCCCCCTCCATTAGATGTTTCTACCTATAAAACCTTTTTATTCTCACTTTATCATAATGATCAAACTGAGTTGTAATAGACACAGAGTGTCCTGCTTCGCAAACTTACCATAGCAATTCATTTTCCTGGAGTATGGTTTTATTTTTTATCCATTCTTCATCAGTGTCAAGCCATATATATTCGCCTGCATCTTCAAGTCTACGACGTAAAATTTCTTCTCCTATCAATTTTTCCTGATGCGTCATTTCCATAAAATCGTAGGGATCATTACCTTGTTCTATATTAAAGAGACAGGTATTTGCATCAACATCTATCTTTGTAAGATAATCTATTGAATCAGTTTTGTCTTTATCTGTAATGGTTACGAACTTATCGGGATCCTCATTATGATCTATAGCCCACTGCCTGAGACGTTTTTCCCGTTCTTCTCGAGAGATATATCCAGGTGGATATGTTTCCAATTGGGTACTGGCTTCTTCATTGCTGGGTTTGGGTAAATTTGAAGCTTTGCTTCCTCATCATTTGCCAGTAAATCGGGAGATATCTCTGGCTCATTATTTACTAATGAGGTGCCTCGAATCTCTGATTCCTTGATAATTTCTAAAGATTTGGATTTATTATTCACAACTTCTACATCCACGATCTCGAGAGGTAGAGATATATCTGTAGACTTAGATGGCGATGCAATTGAATTTTCCGGTTGATCTATTATAGAATCGAAGAAATCCTGGGTCATATTAGTAACAGGTGGGGTGGACAATGTATTCTTACCTTTTTCGATATGATTGGTGGTTAATGGAATGTGATCTATTTTTTCTGGTTTGGGAGATATAACAATTTCAGGTGCATCAAATACAGGGATCTCTGTGAATGTGCTGGTGGATATTCCAGCATGAGGTGCATCTAAAAATTCTTCGATATTACCTATTAACTCACGTAATTTGGCTACGATCTTGGATCGGTCAAGGATGTAGACCCATTCTCTTTTTCCATTAACCCGTACTTGCTTGCGTTCTATACCAATCGTTGGAGGAGTTTTTTCAATTTTTTTACTAGTGAATGAATTTTCACCATTTCTTTCACACCAAATACGATAATCCTGGTATAAATTCGAACATATTGGTTTCTTAGTTCTATTTTCAGGCCAAGATGAAATATGATCAATTATGAATTGAATTGGATTTACTAGGTGTTCCATCATTGTATCTGTTTTCATTTTAGTAACAGGAATATCTTGTGGATTCCAATCTGAGATATTAAGACTGAGTAGATAAGCCATAACTATACTAGACGCGTCGGGGTGTTCTAACACTTTGGCTAAATTTTTAAAACATGCTGTATTGTCTTTACAACAGGGAGATACATCGAAACACACGATACGCTGATCACCTATTTCTACTCGGAGTGGAGCATCATGATTACTTAATACCATAAATCCAGCATAATCTTTTAGAACTTTGGGTTCGAGTTCTTTGTGCTCAATTGTTAAGTGATCTTCTGTAATAAGCGATTTGAGATGATCATTATATTTGTGCCAGTCCCCACTACTCATTCTCATTTCATTCATAACAATTAATTTGCGAGCCTGGATACAACTATTAAACCTTCCCAATATTTTATCAAGATCAGAAGTTGCATAGAAAAGTTCAGAACCCAAAATTTGTTTACCTATGAAATCGATTAAGATATTTTTTCCACAGCTCGGTAAGGAACGTAATACTGGAACACAGGTCGAAAGATAAAAAATCAGGCACAAATCAGGTACCCGATTTTAAACTGATTACTACCTGATTACCACCTGATTTATGCATATTTTTGTACCAAATTTTTGGTACAAAAATATGCATAAATCAGGTGGTAATCAGGTAGTAATCAGTTTAAAATTGGGTATCTGATTTGTGCCTGATTTTTTATCTTTCGACCTGTGGAATGGTTCCAGGCTTCTTAGATGGTTGTCATACTAGATATCCTACCCAATGCCAGAAATATTTACTAAGTTCTTCATTACCACCAGAGATTATATTTTTTATATGGCATAAAATTGGATCCATAATGGCGGGATTAATCTCTCTTGCCGGCCGAGCTTTGAATCCTAGAAAAAGATTAAAGAACTTGATATTTGGTGGTGAGGTATTTGGTGAATATGGCAGAAAATCGATATTACGATAAAGAATCAGACCTTCAACGACTGCTTGATTTATTAATATTTTTAATTCGATTAGTTCTCCTTGATATTCAGTTATTTTTATTTTGTATTTAGTAATATCTAGTTTAGGTGCCATATCGAAAAAAAGTCCATTATCCGAGTCTGCCATTTTAAGTAGCCATAATCTCGAAGATGTTTGAATACATGCAACTGTTGCTTGAATTGCCTTATATACTTCATTACGGGTAAAAATATTCTTAGAGGTACACATATCAATTAAGTCACCCCATGTAAAGTAATCATTTGGATCTGAAATTCTAGACCGTTCTAATTTTTCTGGAAGGAGACGTTTTTTTTCTTTATTTTCAATTGTTTCGTTGAAAACAAGTTTTAATGATGGTTTCCTTGTACCTGATAGCGTCTCTTGATCTGCTTGATAATAATAATATCGATAAATTTTCTTATTTCGGATTATATATACCTTATCACTAGTGTGGGCATTGAGATTCTACTTTGCGATTTAGAGGGAATATATTTGGAAGTGTAGACGATGGGTATAAAAGTTCAAACCCTTTAATTTTATACTCTTTAAGCAATTTTTCTATGTATTTTATTTCAGATTCAATAGTCCTAGTATTATTTTTATTTTTTTCTGACGTTGACATATCTTTGATTAATATTTTTTCTTTCAGTGTTTCCAAGATAGGACTATCTTTTATTTATGCATCATCATGGGGAGAACGAAGCATAAAGTTGAAAATGGTACCATTTTTAGGTATAACTGCTCTCTTTGAACAAATATGCTCATTGGTTTCTTTGATAATCTTTGGTGTTCCAAGCATTTGTAAGGAGAATGAACTTTTATTTGCAATATTATCAACAATTCTATTGGCTTGTAAACCTATTGGAAGTTTTTTACGGACAAGCTCAGTAAACACTGCGACTTTGGCAATATTTTTGAGCTGAAGTCCGAAAGTTGATATATGGTATGACATTTTTTTCTGATTGCTACTATTGGCAATAGTTAAGGTTTTAATATCCCAATCTGGATAAATCTCAATATATAGCTCTCTGAAAGCCCCGATTAAAACATAATAAGCTTCTTTACATGTAAGTTTTGGTTCAATTTTATTTAGTGTT